TGTGTGTGTGTGTGTGTGTGTGTGTGTGTGTGTGTGTCATGGAGGAGGTGACTTAATTCATTTCAGCTCTGTGTTTGGAAAATGCTTTGCATTCAGAAATCAGAGACTCTTTTGGCAACCATTAACCTCAAAATTAGTCATTCAAAGTTTTAAATAACTTGTTTGTGTCATTTTTACATAACATCGAGAGTTCAGTCGTTGTCAGTCTGCTGAGGTTAAGAAATATAGCCTACAAATACAGGAGATTAGAAAATTAGAAATATATCAATAGCAGCATGGGCTTTGCTGATCTTCTGGATGAAGTTGGCGGGTTTGGACGCTTTCAGATGATTCATGTCGCTCTTCTGTCCATCCCGGGCCTTCTGATGGCTAGCCAGAATTTACTCAATAACTTCACTGCCGGTGTACCGGAGCATCACTGTCGCATCCCGAACATCACGGCGGCGCTGAACGAGAGCACGGCGGCACTGCTTCGCGCGTTTATCCCGCTGGATTCATCACGAACACCGTCCAAATGCACCCGGTACACCGACGCTCAGTGGCACTTAATCACAGACAAACCGAGTCACACAAATGCCACTGAACTCCAGACAGAGGCTTGTGCTGAGGGCTGGACATATGACAAGACTGAATTCATCTCATCTATAGTGTCAGAAGTAAGTCGTTTCCGATTTACAATTCAGCTTTTCAACAATTGTTAGGCTGACAATAGAATTTGAATAAATAGATTAATATATTAATATTAAATAACACAGACCTTAAAATGCACTATCCGAACTTAATGCATTAACACTTTGCAATACAGACCTAATGTTGGTCTCTTTTTATAGAAGACGAGCAGCATTTCAAAAAATGAAAGTGTAAAAAAGTTATGCAAGTTTACTGTAAATAATATTATACTAAAGTGCATTATTTTAAATAAAAAATATTTTACAGAATGTTTTGGAATCTAAGATTGCTATAAATCAAAAGCCATAACTTATGTTTTAGTTATGTTCCAAATTTGAAGTTGACATCACAAAAATTGAGGTACTTGTAAGATTTTGTTTAGGCGCTATACCGAAAATAGCCACTGGGTCACACAAATTCATAGCCTTTTTTGATGCATTTTCCGTCACAAATGTATAAATTTCTGTCACGATATACTTTGTTATAACAAGATCCAATTGCAGCTTTATTGTAGTCCCAAACAATGATGCAGACAGAATCGCTGGCAACCCAGCCGGCATTTCAATTGATTCAACGGTGAATCAAGATTGGGTACCATGGTTGAATCAATATTGGATTATGTTTTGATTTTACAAATCGGATCAATGTTGATATTGGGACATTGTTTCACCATTGAAATCACAACGTTGTTTCACCATTGAATATGCGACGTTGTTTCACGGTCTTACCTTCAGCATAGGTGAATTAAGGTCATTCTGTAAACGTTGGATTAACGTTGAATTAGGTGTTGATTTTGCAAATTGAATCGGTGTTGATAACGCGACGTTGTTTCACCGTCGTACTTTCTTACATGGGTGATGAATACACAACTGTATGTTCAATTAGAACCTAGTTTGCATTTTGATCAACACTGTACATACATAAAGTTAAAAATCAAATGACTGGCAGCAATGGCTTTACAATCAACTTCAATAAACTACCACATGCTCAAAATTGTAAAACAGCAGTTTTAATTTGGAGCTCAGGAGTGAACTCGTAGACTGGAGCGAGCTCAGGAGTGAACTCGTAGACTGGAGCGAGCTCAGGAGTGAACTCGTAGACTGGAGTGAACTCTGAGGCAGACTCCTGGGCCAACAAAGCAGGATGCTTAGGTGGGGCCGGCAGGGCAAGGAGCTTGGTTGGAGCCGGCAGGGCAAGGATCATGTGTGAGACAAGGCGAGCGGGCTGCTCAGTAACCTCTGGGACTACCAGGCTTGGGTCCACACGAGTTGGGTCCTTCAGGACCACCAGACTTGGGACCACAGGAGCGGACTTAGGAACTACTGATGTAGAACTAGCTTCCCTCCTTCTCGACCTCCGCTTAAACGTGGAAATTGATGAAGGGTCCTGGGCTTGACTATACGAGGGAGGTGGGGATGGGACAGCCCCTGCAGGTGGACTCTGGTGGTGAATTACCTCCCCCTCCTTGTGGATCTGTAAATACCTGGAGAAATTTCAGAAATCCAAATATTTCACCAGTTCCATCTCCCAAGGTGGCAGGGGTTTGTCCAGACAAGTTAAAAATGCCCTTAAGGTCTGCATTCTGGCAACCCAGCCGCTCCGCATTTGTCCAGAACCTCAGGGTGATGGTCCGCACCTCCACTCCCTGCTGGCGAAGTACAGCCAGACTTCGGAGATGGACTTAAATGGAGCTAAATCCTGTCCTTCGTGCTGCTGGATCTGTAGTGTGGCTTCAGTATTCTGTCACAAAATACTCTGTTACAAGAAGATCCAATTGCAGCTTAATTGTAGTCCCAAACAATGATGCAAACAACAGAGCCACTGGCAGAAATCACTTGCAAAAAATAATCCACAAAACATAGAGTCCACAAACACAAAGTAACAGAACTCAACACTGACGCAAACAAGGGCTAACAGAACATGGTATATATAGGGCAACTAATAAGACTAATGACACACAGCTGGGAACAATAAGAACTAATAGACAGAGCAAAGGGTAATGGGAAATTAAGTCCAGATCCAAACGGCAATTAACCCTCATGTGGCTGTCATAGGCAATTTCTGTCACAATATTACTTTATCACTAAATATCTATATTGGAGCCTTGAGACTCAGACCTTTCTAACAGCATGTGTTTTGTCACAATTAGAAAAAGTTTTGATTATAAAATATTGTAGTACATTTTGGAATATGACACCGCCCACTAGGGGGAGGAGCCTGCTAAACGGGTTTGAAGCTCCATTTCCATATAAAGCAATGGTTAATTTCTAAATGGATTTTAATGGATGAGTTTTGAGTGTTTAAGCTTTTGAATAGGATGATTGCTAAAACATTTGATAGGGAAACGGCAATATAAAAAATGTGGCAAGCATCCTGATAGTGGGATGCTGACAGTTAACAGGCTGAACAGTACTGTGGTTTGTGACTTCCTAAAAGTTCAAATATTCCATCTCATTACAATTGTCTTTACCATTATCAGCCTGAAAATAGCATATTTCTCCTCAGTCAGCCGAGGTATCAGAGTGGAGCCTTCCAATTACACAGGAATATTCAATATAAGCAGTTTACATTTATTTAATTTATTGGGTAAAAGAAAACATCTCTCTTGAACAAAATGCAAAATTACATTTTTTGTACATTACATTTTTTTAAATTAGCAAGTCACAAAATGCATTTACAGGCTGGGATTTTGTTCGCAAAAGGTCCACAAAATGTTTACCCTTATGTGCATGAAATTGAGTTTCTAAGCTAAAGTAATATTGTGATTTTCGGTCATACGTCATCTAAGGTAAGTATGAGAGCGTCAAATAACTCCTTCCTCATTTTATTTCGGGGGAACCAGCTTAATTTAATTTTAACAGTAAAGAAAATCAGAAGGATTGTTGAGTAAATTGGATAAATTAGCAAATTATGTAAATTGGAGGGATTATGCTGACCAATCTGAAAGATATGTGAAGTCTGGTAAAGTGTAATATTTATGTTTCTCTTGGTCAAGCCATGAGTCCATCCTGAGCATGAGGTATTTGCAAATCGGTGCCTTTCCGAATCAGAGGTGTTTTCTCTTAAATCGAGGCAATAGGCTTCTGTTAATGTAGAGACCTCATCCTAAGTGAAACTTTTCCAGATGTTGTTTGGGTTGCCATTCTGTTTGCCTGCTGTCCACTACAGGAACATGTTTTGCAGTGATGCTTTTCTCTTATTTGTCACAGTGGGATTTGGTTTGTACCCTCCGTTCACTCAAACAGATGAGCCAGACCATTTACATGGGAGGAGTGCTGACAGGTGCCATTATATTTGGAGGGCTATCTGACAGGTAATGCATCTGTTTCCGCTGTCATTATAACACCATTACACAAAACACATTGACATATATGTCTTTTTGCACAGTAAAAAGATTCAATAAACAATGTGTCTGACTATTTTTCACATGTGAGGTCATGAATCAATGATGTACAAGTGCATTTCAACCATATGCCAGCAGTTATTTTTTACAGCAAAACACCACAGTGTTTTTAGCAGTTAATCTTTAGCTGCATTCACATGGACACTAATGATCTTGAATAAGTCTAGTAACATTAAGACTATTTTACAAGACTAGTAAATAATTTTTTCTAGTTGTTGATAATATGCAGGAAAGCAAAATGAGAATTGAATAGAAAAATAACATTAAAAAGAAGGATTGATTTGATAATGTCCAATCGCCATTAAATGTTTAATATTATTGAACAATTAATTTATTGATTTTAAATATTTATTCATGTGGCATTAACATCTGCATGTCTCTTACAGTTGTCTGATTGATTTTATTGTCCCAAGCATTGAGAAATCATTTTATGAGGTACTTAATTAACACCCAATAAGCTACGAAATCAAAGCAGACTTTATACTTTTAAATAATATTACTCACTTTTGATATTTTCCAGTACTACATACCTCATTGTAAAGCGACCGATCGGTTCAGCTTTTCACTTATTGCAAATGGTGGAAGGCAACATGCAGTTTTATGTAAAAATTCAATCGAATTGAAAATATGAACAGAAATAATAGTATATCAATAATATTAAAAATCACTGGTTGAGTTGTGGGTAGTAAAGCTCATCATCAAACACTACGTACAGTACATGCTGCATTAGTGAACTCAACTGTACAGTGATGTTATTACAGCATGAACTCTAAACATGCTGTGATTATCTACACTATAACCCACCATTCATTCATGCATTCATTCAATGGATTAGAAAAACATTTCAGTAGTCTTTTGAATCGGTGAAGGATATGTCAGAATCATCTCGCTACTCTTTATTCTCCTGTAGGTTTGGGCGAAAGGCCATGCTGATTTGGTCGTATTTTCAGCTCGCTGTCTTAGGCACGTTCACGGCTCTCTCACCGTCTTACGTGGCTTACTGCATCTTCAGATTCCTGACGGGAATGTCTGTGTCTGGAGTCATTCTCAATGCCGTCTCACTCAGTGAGTGTCTCGCTTCACTCATTCGAAAGGAAAGGACTGGTTCATCCAACATATACAATATACAAAATGATTTGCATAGGGGAAAACAATGGAGATAGATAAGAAGAATGATTTTTAAAGTCAATTACTATGAATGTGTTTACATATGTGACCCTGCACTCCCGAATGAGTTTGCGCGAGAGAACGTAATCTTTTAGTTTTAAGTCGGTTTGAACAATCTGGATAAGCGCAAGTATGTACCATTTTGATTAGCCGTCGTACCTACAATGACTGTGCACTGTGTAACCAATGAGTGACGTATACGCACGAGAGATCACTTCCGGCGCTCGCGTAAACTACGCCAGAGAGCGTACACACCTCACGCACCGGACGCCGTGCGCGCGCACAAAGCAGCTGGACATACAATCAACTTAGAGGTAAAAAATTATATAAATATTATATAAATACTGTTTGGTTTCTGGCACAAACCGATCGTTTCGTGTCTTAGGACATCAATGTGTCGTCACGAGCCGCAGGGTTTAATTTGGATTTGTCTGTGCATGTTTTTTTTACTCTCATAGATTTTGTTACCATTGCCATGCATTATACGACTGACAGACTGCAACGGCTGGAGTTAAAAATCATCATATGTGTTCTACTGAAGAAACAAAGTCACCTACATTTTGGATGCCCTGGAGGTAAGTAAAAATTTTAATTTTGGGGTGAACTATCCCTTTAAGTCGCTGGGGGATATTTGTAGCAATAGTCAACAATACATTGTATGGGTCAAAATTATAGATTTTTATTTTATGACAAAAATCTTTAGGATAATATGTAAAGATCATGTTCCATGAAGATATTTTGTAAGTTTCCTACCGTAAATATATCAAAACTAAATTTTTTTTAGTAATATGCATTGCTAAGGACTTCATTTGGACAACTTTAAAGACTATTTTCTCAATATTTAGATTTTTTTGCACCCTCAGATTCCAGATTTTCAAATAGTTGTATCTCAGCCAAATATTGTCCCATACATAAATGGAAAGCTTATTTATTCAGTCATAAAATTTACCCTTATGACTGGTTTTGTGGTCCAGGGTCACAAATGTTATTTTACTTTAAAGAAAAAATATGAAGGTGTTTAAAAGACAATATTTGGAAAATATAAATTCACTGACACTGTCAGATAAGAATAATGAATAATGATGCTGTTGTCGTCTGTATAGAGCCTTATAGCAGATATGGATGAATTTTGCAACACTGACACAGTTATTGATCTGAACTGAAACAACATTGAACTAAATGGATTGTAATTAAAAAATAACATTGTTATCTTCAATAGAGCTGTTTTACTGATTGATTTTGCCACATTAACACTGTTATTTTCCTTTTTATCGGCCTATATAAATAAATGTGACTTGAAATGTTCGTGTTGTTATAGAGGTGGAGTGGATTCCGACTAAGGCTCGGACGCTGGTGGGCACCATATCGTCTTTCTTCTTCACGTTTGGTCAGATGATTCTAGCTGGAGTGGCGTACAGTCTGAAGGACTGGCGCAAAATACACGTGGCCATCGGTCTTCCTTTCTTTATCTTTTTCTTCTACAGCTGGTACGAGATTATTCAAATCAATCTTTGGCAGTGAATGAAACTTAATCATGACGCTAAAAAGTCAATGCTCTATTGCATTTGAAAATAAAGTCCCCGCCTACACTAAACCTAACCCTGAGGAATGTTTCACCCAAAAATGTGAAAGTGAAAGCCATTCAAGCTTTGTTTGGATTAGGAATATGTTGATTACATTAATGCAAGAATGTTACAATAGTGAAGAATGGTATTATAATAAAGGCTTAACTAGAATATGAACCTCAAATTGAAAATGTTCAGGTTGTGACAACTTTACTATATGTTTAGTAAATTAGTTGTATATTTTATCTCAGGCGATGATGGTAAAACTAGCTTTTTGTTGTTGTTGTTTTTTTCAATCAAGATTTTGAAGAAATCAAAAAATTCATAGATTATAAAAGGCATACTATAAGATGAAAAAGGAAAGAACACTGAATGCAAGATAAAACCACAGTTTTAAAAAGCGTAACAGAAGCCATCTTTAAACAAGAGTCATTTTTCAGCATGCATAGATAGTATGTGATTGTGTTGATTCTGCATTTCCAAATTTCTCAAAGGGTGTTTAAATCACACACACACTCTTAAAAATCAAGGTGCTTCTTCACAGCGATGCCATAGAAGAAGCATTCAGTCAAAGGTTCTTTAAAGAACCATCTCTTTCTATCCTTTTTATAATCTGAAGAACTTTCCTTCACCACAAAGTAGCTTTAGTGAAACAGAAAGGTTCTTCAGATGTTAAAGGTTCTCTATGGAACCATTTAGACAATACAGTTTATTTTTAAGAGTGTAGACTCATTAGAACTATTGAAATTCTGCACCTAGTAAAAAACGAATGCAGCATACAATAACACGTACAGAGATGTCTCCATGTCGAAGGTGGTACTCTGAATCTGCTCGCTGGCTGGTGCTGAACGGTCGCTCTGAGGAAGCACTGAAGCATCTCCACCGCGTGGCTAAAATCAACGGCAAGCCCGAGATGACAGAGAAGATCACTTTAGAGGTTTCACATCAGCCTATAGCAACATTTCACATTTCATACCATCACATATTCATATATCACATCTTCATGTTTAGGTGCTGGAGTCACACATGCAGAAAGAGGTGCAGTCCAGTAAGAGCATTCATACTGTGTTTGATCTCCTAAAAACACCAACCATGAGGAAGATATCCATGTGCCTTATGGTCGTCTGGTGAGAATCAAACTAGTATTATGCTTAAATATACATTCATAAATACATTAACTTACCATCCTGCATTATACTCTGTTTGCAAAATAATTTGGGGGGGTCTGATTCCAAAAGTAACGGCTGTTTTGCTAAAGCAAATGATGTTTTTCCAAAACATATTATGCATTTTGTAGCATTTTTGCTTTTGACGTTTGTGCAGTGAAGTCTTGTGTTGCTTAATCAGCAAAAAAAAAAAAAAAAAGGACGACAAAATAACATGATTCCTGTCTGAATCTGAGCCAGATTACAACTATTTGTTTAATTCTCAGCCTTTTTTCACATGCAGGACATTCATTTTTATGCTTAATTTTTAAAATTAAGATTTGAAAAATCTTCATTCTTATGAAAAAATAAAGTGGTGAAATGTTTCTGAACTTATCTTCAACAAATTAGGTAATATTACACCTTCTTTGGAAATCAAAATTTTTGGTAACACTTTAATTAAAGCCTCTATGAATAATGCATTATAAAGGGTACTGTAATTATTCATAATGTGCATTGTAATACATTATATCTTGTCGTAAACAAGTATAACCAAATTTAAGAAGCATAGTGTAAAAATGTATTATAATGTATTAAGTGTGGTTACAATGAGATTGTACAATGCATTATAAGGTGCATTACAAGGCATGAGTAACACAAAATGTTGTTTCTTGCACAGACTGATCATTTCGCTTCATAAGACCTCGATATATCGTCAGGAGCCACGGGGATTCATTTTGTGTTGCCTGATATGATTTCTTTGACTCTTAAACTGACAGCAGCCACTGACTTGCATTTTATGAATCACCAAGGAGCACAGTTTCAGCTAAAAATCTTCTTTATTGTTCTACTGAAGAAAAAAGTCACCTACATCTTGGATGGCCTGAGTTAACAACAATGAAGAGCAACGTTTCATTTTTGGGTGAACTATCTCTTTAATTTGCATGATATAGTTCACATTAGTGACATTTTAATAAAAAAAGACAAAAAACGAAGCATGCCTAAAGCGTCATATAAAATCTATTAGGAGGAATTTATTAACAATGGACAGAACTTTTATGGCATTTATTCATGAAGGTGAATGCATGTAGAAATGATTGCAACGTTTCAAGTTGTACAAGTTAAAATTAGTTCCCGTATTACGAGCAAGCATAAAATGAAGGGATAGTTCACCCTAAAAATCATCATTTACTCACCCTCGTGTTGTTCTGATGCTGTACGAGTTTCGTTCTTCTGTTGAACACAAAGGAAGATATTTTGAAGAATGTTGAGAACCAAACAGTTGGTAGCCACTGACTTTCGTGGTGGTCCTTTGGAACCAGAAACTATTCAATTACCAACATTCTTCAAAATATATTCTTTTGAAAACATTTTCATATACTTTATGAATTAATTAACTAATGCCCATAAATAGAACCGTATAAAGTAGTACCAGAAATAAAACATAAACAGAGAGAGGAAGAAATGTTACTGTTACATGGTACTAAATATGTAATGATAATACAAAAATCACAAGCCCAAGTGGGACCATGCATTAGAGATATTGTACTTTGCATTTCCAGAACAAGTAGGGAATAGCAATGCAAACTTTTACATGAACTTGACCTCATAGGATAACTGTTTTCATGTTTGTTCCACAGGCAGACCGGCATGGGCTTTGCCTCCACGATGGCCAGAATCGGATCCATGGCCGCTCCTGCAGTCCTGATCCTGGAGGAGATCCTGCCGGCTCTGCCTAGCATCATATACGGAGGATCCGCTGTGCTCGCTGGTTTCATAGCCTTTTTGCTTCCAGAAACCCTTGACATTCCTCTGCCTGATACCATTGAGGATGTGGAGGAGAAAGGGTAAAGTCTCAGAGCTGAATCCACGATGAATCACTGTGACTAGCTTTCAACTTCAGCATCGGATTCAGCCGAAGTCTTAAAGAAGAGACGCAGAGTGAGTCGCTGGCCTTACGGGACATCAAACAGAGTGAAGAGAACAAGTCCTCTGGGCTTCATCCACTGTCAGACACTCCAGTTCAATTAAAGTAATAATTATTACACCTCGAGACGAACATTAAAAGACTGCTATTGATGCTTGCTGTCTCAATCTAGACAACAGATGAGTTTGTTTCTTCATCAGGTTTGGAGAAATGTAGCACTGCATCAGTGTCTCAGCAATGGATGCTCTGCAGTGAATGGGTGCCGTCAGAATGAGAGTCCAAACAGCTGATAAAAACATCACAATAATCCACAGCACTCCAGTCCATCAGTTAATGTCTTGAGAAGCCAAAAGCTGTGTTTGTAAAAAACAAATCCATCAAGACATTAAGGCGTTTTAACTGTAAACCTTTGCTTCTAGATAAAATATCAGAATTCATAATAATGCTTCCTCCAGTGAACAAGTCTGTCTCCTGTTATCTCTCACATCAAAATCCACACACATAATTGTTTAGAGCTGATTTGGACTGATCTGTGCAGATTTCTCTCCTGCTTCAGACCAGATTACTTTTTCACCGGAGGAAGCGTTGTTATGGATTATGGACTCATATTTGAGTTAAAAACATCATAATGCTGGATGTGTTTCAGCTTTTGTCTTCTCCAGATGTTCACTGATGGACTGGAGTGCTGTGGATTACTTGTGGATTATTGTGATGTTTTTATCAGACGCTCATTCTGACGGCACCCATTCACTGCAGCGCATCCATTGCTGAGACACTGATGCAATGCTACATTTCTCCAAATCTGATGAAGAAACAAACTCATCCACATCTTGGACGGCCTGAGGCTGAGTAAACATTCAGCGAATTTTCATTTTTGGGTGAACTACTCCTTTAATGTACAAAAGTGTACAAGTAGTCTATATGACACATGCTTTAAATCACCGTTTGCCTGATAATCTTGAATTTTGTTCTTTCATGACTTTGTTGGAAAATCAGTAGACATGAAAATTGAATGCATGATTGCAGGGATTGATTTTGTTCAGATGTTTCAAAGTACAGCATTAGAAGTTCTTTGTTAGTACTAGTATGCTATTGCGTATTAGTACTAGTAATAAAAGTATGCTATTACGATACATTTTTCACGATTATTTAGAATGTAATGAAGGTTCTACAGTGACTTAATAATGTACACAAAAAGTAGAATAATTTTTATAGTAAGTTTTTCATTGTATCCGAAATGTAACAAAATGTTAACAAACTGTAACGTTTTACAATAAGGTTCAGTTCATTAACATTAGCTAATGCATTAGGTATCATGAACCTATACAACAATTCTTTACAGCATTTAATATGTAGTTAAGTGTTATTTTACACCATTGTTCATTTATGAATTCATGCTCATTACAGTTTTTCTCAATTGCTTAAACACATTTGCCCACTCAGACATTACATTTTCAGAACAGTTAACACACAGCTCAATGGCCAAAATTACTCATTTTGTTTGCAAAATGCTCCAACACTCACAAAACATGCAACATAAGCAACTTGTGGTCAAATTAATTTATTCTTTCAATCAATCATTACACAATGGACAACAAAACACAGCTATAAATATGAAACTCAGAAGTGTTGAATAGCTCCTTGCATGGCAAATCCATCAGCAGCCCTCTCTCTTTAGGTGAAAGTCTTTCATTTAATGCATCAAAAAATGTGATGAGGCATTCTGTATTGAACTGATAGTTTGCATGTGGCAAAGCGCACCATCATTGGAGACGGCAGCACACATGGTGATATTACTGGCACTGCGACAGTGGCGCTCTGCCCAATAAATGTTCCTCCCATGTCTCCTAATGTGGCCATTTGAATTTCTAGCTGTAAATTGTTTTGGTGTAAAATGATGATTTTCTACTGCTTAAGCTGAAGATGCAGCTCAAAATGAAGTGTTCAAAATGCTCCAACACTCACAAAACATGCAACATAAGCAACTTGTGGTCAAATTAATTTATTCTTTCAATCAATCATTACACAATGGACAACAAAACACAGCTATAAATATGAAACTCAGAAGTGTTGAATAGCTCCTTGCATGGCAAATCCATCAGCAGCCCTCTCTCTTTAGGTGAAAGTCTTTCATTTAATGCATCAAAAAATGTGATGAGGCATTCTGTATTGAACTGATAGTTTGCATGTGGCAAAGCGCACCATCATTGGAGACGGCAGCACACATGGTGATATTACTGGCACTGCGACAGTGGCCCTCTGCCCAATAAATGTTCCTCCCACGTCTCCTAATGTGGCCATTTGAATTTCTAGCTGTAAATTGTTTTGGTGTAAAATGATTTTTTTCTACTGCTTAAGCTGAAGATGCAGCTCAAAATGAAGTGTTTTGAGCATTTGAGTTCACAGTAAACACTTTGGTGCAGTTTACTGCTTATGTGGAGTTTCTCGACTCTCTCTGAAATCTTTTAATGACTATTAGTTTGTTACCATATTTTGATAAACACCCTCTCTGGCTTAAATTAAATGAAGGCGCAAGTGCATGCAGCCTGTATCAGTCGATTTTACAGTATACTTCATATTTTCATAGGCAGTGTTAAAGAAATTGCTTATTAATGTTACTTTAAAATCCAGTCACAATATTTATTTATACATTGAAGATGAATGAGTTCTGAAGTGATTTGTGATTGACCATGGAGCACAAAACCAGTCACAAGGGTCAATTTCTCGAAATTGAGATGTATTCATCATCTGAAAGCTGAATAAATAAGCTTTCCATTGATGTATGGTTTGGACCGGACCGGACAATATTTGGCCGAGATACAACTATTTGAAAATCTGGAATCTGAGGGTGCAAAAAAATCTAAATACTGAGAAAATCATCTTTAAAGTTGTTCAAATGAAGTTCTTAGCAATGCATATTACTAATCAAACATTAAGTTTTGATATATTTACGGTAGGAAATGTACAAAATATCTTCAAGGAACATGATCTTTACTTAATATGCTAATGATTTTTGGCATAAAAGAAAAATTTATAATTTTGACCCATACAATGTATTGTTGGCTATTGCTACAAATATCCCCCAGAAACTGGGCTCCACTTGATCTTCATCATCACATTCTTAGCACAGCAGAAGTCTCCTCTTGCAAATGCCTTAACACTTTTTCATCTTTCTCACACATTTTTCACACCCTTTGTCAAAACGGTCACGACAGATCTCATTAAAAGACCCCAAACTCTATTGGATTCACGGTGTTGAACAAAAGGAAAATATCTATTCACAGCTGACAGAAAGTACTTGCATAATCACGAATCTCTAATGCACCTGTGTGAAACTCGTTTGCACAATTCTTCAATCAACTCTTCAAAAGATGCCACCTCTGTCCTGCTATTTGCAAGTATGGATCAAAGAGGCCCAAGGCATGAAAGGAGAGTAAGAGAGCTAGAAAGAGAAGTTTGCATACAGGGTGGAGGAGCTGCATTACTGTAAAAGGAGAAAATACAGCTCGAGATTCAAATGAAATTCAGGAAACAATTATTGACCATGTCATCAACCATAGTTCAAGTAATGAATTAAGGTAAAGTGGTGCAGAGCCAGTGGTGGTATGGGTGGCAAACATTAAAGGGTTAGTTCACCCAAAAATGAAAATTAGCCCATAAATTACTCACCCTCAAGTCATCCTAGGTGTAGATGACTTTCTTCTTTCAGACGAATCCAGTCGGAGTTATATTAAAAGTGGTCTTTGATCTTTCAAGCTGTTTAATGCCACTCAGCGGGTGTTGCATTGCTTCTGTCCATCTAGCTTGCGCTCGCTTATTTTTTTGTACTGTATTTTTGATCAAATAAATGCAGCCCTGATGAGCAGAATACTTATTTCAAAAATAATGAATATTATTTTTACATAATATAAATGAATGACAGACTGCATTCCAGAGTGTGTTAAGCTTTATTGTTACTCAGAATTACATGACAGTGCATTTGTATTAATGAATAAATGCGTTCAAACAGGAGTTGTGCATTTGATCAGGTGACCCTGGAGCACAAAACCAGTCATAAGTGTCAATTTTTCAAAAGTGAGATGTATACATCAACCGGAAGCTGAATAAATAAGCTTTCCATTGATGTATGGTTTGGACCGGACCGGACAATATTTGGCTGAGATACAACTATTTGAAAATCTGGAATCTGAGGGTGCAAAAAAATCTAAATATTGAGAAAATCATCTTTAAAGTTGTTCAAATGAAGTTCTTAGCAATGCATATTACTAATCAAAAATTACGTCTTGATATATTTACGGTAGGAACTTTACAAAATATCTTCAAGGAACATGATCTTTACTTAATATCCTAATGATTTTTGGCATAAAAGAAAAATCAATAATTTTGACCCATACAATGTATTGTTGGCTATTGCTACAAATATCCCCCAGCGACTTAACACTGCTTTTGTGCTGCAGGGTCACATATGTCAATGGTTTCCAAGATTAATTCTTGGAGAGAAAAAAAAATCAGGGTTCAAAGCTAGGCATTTTTGTTACAGGCCAGTGGGTCACATTTTTATATCCAATGCAAAGAGTTAAGAGCTAAATATATGTTCACCCTGGTTCATTTATGTGCAAAATATTTAGTATAAACCATCTATAAAATTGCATCTTGGTAAGATGTGTCAACATTTGAACTGCCTTAAAGTGTGTTTTTTTTAAATATCCAACATGATATATATTGTATACGTTTCTTCTGTGCACAGAAAACGCCTCAGACCGCGAGAGTACCAAATTAAGTTCTTTCACATCTTCTTGTGCTTGAACGGTGTAAAAATCACTTGTTTTAATTTGCAAAACTTAAGACATTTCCATATGATGATAAACTTTTGTGACAACACACGACTGACCCGATTAAGGCTTTTTAGGATATTTTTAAAACTGAAGACTTTAAAACGTCTTCATTGACTGAAGCGAAACCACTGACACTCACCCATCTGCCTCCATCTTCTTTCTCTTCTCAATGATCTGAAATAAACAGAGACCGTGTGAACATGCTGCAGGACTGAATGAACACCATTATCACCACCAAACATCTGTTTGCAGCTCACGTGGGTCATAGGGGTGCGATATTGACAAAAAAAAAATCTTTGTATTTATCTGGATTTTTTGATAATGATAATTAAATGATATTTTGCCGAGTGTGTTTTTGTGCTGATTTAGGCTTATCATAGATAAATAAATATGACATTAAAACCACCAGTAGGTGGCGGCAAATCCCTGCCTTAATGTGTGATTCATTGAATCATTCATTCAAACGATTCATTCAAAACACCTGATTCATGTAGAAACAAAGCAAGCGGCTGTCTTTATGAATGGATCATTGAATCAATGACTCAAATGACTCATTTAAAAGCAGATTCATTCAGGAATGAAACGCGCAGTGTTGCCATGAGATGCATAAATGTCCTGCTCCAGCTTTGTTTCGAAACGTTTTCATCGGCCAAACAGAAAAAAACAAGACAGTATTGTGTCTAAAATGTAACAATTAAATTGATTGTTGAACTGTTATATAAAATCAATACTACATTTGCGATAATGCTCATGCGCTAATATTTAGGAAAACGGCACTGATGCCTGTGCATTATAACTAAACTTTATCATATGTTATCATCACACAGTCAATGCTTTTTTTTTGGCCAAACAGAAAAAAACAAGACAGTATTGTGTCTAAAATGTAACAATTAAATTGATTGTTGAACTGTTATATAAAATCAATACTACATTTGCGATAATGCTCATGCGCTAATATTTAGGAAAACGGCACTGATGCCTGTGCATTATTACTAAACTTTATCATATGTTATCATCACACAGTCAATGCTTTTTTTTATATAAAACGGTTATATCCATATACGTAGTAAGGTTTCACAAAATAAAACAGAGCAAATAAATTGTAATGATATTAATAAACACAGTATTCTTCCACCAAACAATGTAGCTCCTCAGAAACAGTTGTGGTTGCTACAAAGTAGTTGCCAAGCAACACAAACTTAAACAAAGGTGTATGTTACTTTGTAGAGTCATTTACAACAGCTTCGAACGTGGCTCAGCCAATCAGAATCAAGGACCGGAACTCTCCGTTTTTATAACCAGCGTTTTATTCCACTACATCTCAAATTCTTAAACACGACACAGTGTTGCAGAATAGAGCCTGTAAACTCACAGCACTGATTTTCTTCCACTGTCGGTCTAGCTCAGCCTTCTCGTTGGTTTCTTTAAAGCGGCGAGTCTTTCGGCCCTCAGACATTTTGATGCCGTACTGGAAGGCAGCCCTACAAAAACACAATTATCATCATGATTAAAGTGAACACGCAACCTCAAATCGATGCAAACTGGTGAAAAACAGAGTCTGTGTTACTTGGGAAGCGCCTCCTTCTTGTTCATGTAGTCGCTGTACTCTTCTTGCGTGTCGAAGTCCCAGCGGCCCAAAGGACCCTTCTTATTACCCTAGAGACAGACACACACGTGAACACGCCTGACCAGAGACACACGGAGACATTTCTCCATTACAACTCAAAATCACTCATGCCTGGTCCATCTTGCTGTAGTCCACCTCCTCATCACTGTCCACAGCCAGATCATCCATTCTACAACAGAGAAGCAAACACTCCCAAACTCAACATCATCAGCATCCTCAACTGTACGTGACAGAAGACGACGTAACTCACGTGGCAGGGTAGCACTCGGCGTAACTGTTTGACATCCCAAAGAAATCTCCAAGATGCTTCTTCTCTTCACGTCTGCTTCCAGTGTTCACGGTTAAAGAAACAAACGTAAAAAGCCATTGCATCCTTTGGAATTGGAACTTGATGTTATTAATCTATACACTAGAGCTGCCCCCTTAACAGTCGACCACAATTTTGTTAGTTGGTTAAACACACAAACAAAAGGCTGGTACTTGTGCTAAATACAGTAGCTATATTGCGCAGGAAATCCAAACATCCGTTGACCTCAAATATGGTTTATCATTTGAAATGTAAATATATAAGTAGCGGCAACTTTACACATCCGCTCACCCTAACATTAACCTAGATAAATGTGCGCTAAAATAAAGGTACTGGTGCGATACTGCACGACATGGAGACACTGGCGCCATCACATGCATTTTTTCCTAATAACAGCGGAAACAACTTCAAATACACCACCATTTCTACTCAAACAGATAAGAGTAACACATCATTCGAAACTGTAAAGGGTCAACTTCTGTGTACACTCACAATCAGCGTTGGGGAAAGTTATTTTTAAAAGTAATGCATTCAAATTTTGCATTATTCCCCAAAAAGTAACTAATTGCATTACTTTTTCTGGAAATGAAGGCCTGGTTTCACAGACAGGGCTTAAACTAAACCAGGATTAGACCATAGTTCAATTAGGACGTTAAAGTAATTTTTAAAACTCGCTCCAACAGGCTTAGAAAAATCAACTTAATTCAAAGGGAAAACTAGTTTTCATTCCCCACTGACAGATATTAGTAGATAACTAGCTTGATTTCGTTCAGTTTCTCAAACGACTTCCACGTCTGAAAACTCCAAAAATGTGAAAAGGCACATGAATTATAGTCTTGTTTCGGTGATTTAAAGTGCTACAAGTATAACATATCTTGACTTAAACTTCAAGTACATTACAGGGAAAACTACCTTTGTCCTTCTTCTTGAGCTTCTTGTTGCGGGTGCCCTGCCTCAGGTACGACAGGATCTGCGTCAGTTTGCTGATGACTATGTCATTAGTGGTGAGCGTCGTCTGAGCCTGAGGAACAAATACAGCAGTTTGACAAGACTTTAAAAATCATCTAGTGCAGTCTGATCATGCAACCTCACCGGAAACCACAATGCACCTTTTCTTTTCATGTCGCAGCCCTGAACAACATCAAACTATAGTTGACACGACATGATTTTTTTTTGTGGTCTGTACTAAATACAGGTGGAAAATGTTAAAAATGTTGAGATCAGATCACTGAAACCACATCCAGATGCAGACAAAACACATCTGTAGTATCAATTACGACTGAAACGGATTCTTATTCTTTTCATTGGCGTCCTTGCCTGTTCAATCACAAGCTACGTAATACGGCTTCGTCCTTTTAGACTAAGATTTCTGATTTGAAATCGTCAAAATAATAGACGACGGGCCATTGAATTATTAGAAAAATAATGCACATAAAATATTTTTCTAATAATTCAATGGCCTGGAGTCAATTATTCCGCTTGTACTACGGTTACCACACCTCAAGACATTGATCAGATTATATATTTAAAGGGATTCGTCTGGTTTTTGTACTTAAATTGCTATTGTGAGTAGGATTATTTCTTCCGCAGCTCATCCAAAGCCTCTTTTGCTAGTTCCAAAATGTTGTTTTAAAGCTGGTAATGAAGGCTTGAGCCGTTGATAGCATTCTAATGCAGTTATTAATGACAGACAGAAAACGAGAGAGAGAGAGCTTGTGTGAAATAGGCTAGCTCTGTGCGTCCCTTAACAGTGTTCTGCAGCAGCGTCTCTAAACACTGCTGTTATTACCTCGCTAGAGAGAAATGTCATGTGTAGCCTTTAAGTTACTACACTATATAAGCTAACTGATAAAATTGTCAGGGCAGCGCTGACAACAACTTTTTGTGCAAACTGCGTGACCGTAGTGTGCGTGTGCGAGCACGTGTGATTGCAGTAATTCTTGAGTGCTGTATAGGTACTGTATGCTAATTTCTGTTATTACAGTTAACTATACGAAGTGATATGGAACTGTAATGCGGTCAAGAGAGCTGCCTGGAACTACGTTCGCTGTGCGTTTCCCTGAAAATAATTGCACCTCAGAACGTTCGTCAGCCAATCAGATTTAAGCATTCAACGGCCACATAATATAAATCAAATTATAGCACGAGTTGAGCGAGAGAATATATTTAACAAGGTCTTCATTTGTGAGTCAAAGATGAACGAAAGTCTTATTGGTTTGGAATGAAGTGAGGTTTAAAATCTCTAACAGCTTTATAAAAAATAAAATAAAATAAGTGTTTTTTTTTTTTTACAACAGAATCGGCATTTTCATTTAAATAAAAGATATTTGTTAGAAGAGACAATAAAAACAGCTTCGTGCATCAAAACTTGATTTTTCAAAAGTGCACAAATCTGCGACAGCTGATTCAATGTAACAGTTCTGACAAGCCAACATTACGTCATGATCATTGTTTACATGATTTTTTTATGTTTAAGCACCCCTTTTCAGATTTTGAGCCATATATGTGACTCTGGAGCACAAAAGCAGTGTTGAGTCGCTGGGGGATATTTGTAGCAATAGCCAACAATACATTGTATGGGTCAAAATTATTGATTTTTCTTTTATGCCAAAATCATTAGGATATTAAGTAAAGATCATGTTCCATTAAGATATTTTGTAAGTTTCCTACTGTAAATATATTAAAACTGAATTTTTGATTAGTAATATGCATTGCTAAGAACTTCATTTGAACAACTTTAAAGATGATTTTCTCAATATTTAGATTTTTTGCACCCTCAGATTCCAGATTTTCAAATAGTTGTATCTCGGCCAAATATTATTCATCTTATTTACTCAGCTTCCAGATGATGTATAAATCTCAATTTCGAGAAATTGACCCTTATGACTGGTTTTGTGCTCCAGGGTCACATATTCACTGTCATGTGCATGCAGCCATTTGTGCCTTTCATTTAATATCAGTTATTTATTACTGTATGTCATGCAGAATTACAGTGGTGGCCAAAATGATTAGAACAGTAGTATTTTCAGCAGATAAAAATGGTTTTAAGTCAGTTATTTCTATGTTTTGCTGTAGTGTGTCAGTAGGAAATATCAGTTTACATTTCCAAACATTCATTTTGCCATTAATTGTAATAATGCAGCGAGATTTATCTGCACTTTTTTATCTCCAAGACGCTTCAAGAAACCTCCTGCAAAGCTCCTGAGAAACTCTGCTCAGGTGCACCGAGGGCAAAAGCTGCTTTAAACACAGAGGATGCTCACACCAAATGTTGATTTCATTTAGTTAAGAGAAGTTCATTGATCAAGAAAATCTGTGTATGACGGCATCCTCATTTTACAGCATTTTTACACAAGTGCCTAAACTTTTAACAGTGCTGGAGCTTTGCAGGAGCTTTCTTGAAGCGTCAGTTCTTCTGGATTGAGTCGGTCTCAGTTTGTTCTGTTTCTTCATGTGACTCCAGACAGACTGATGATGATCAGATCAGATCTCTGTGTGCAGCACAAACATCTCGCTGCATTATTACAATTAATGGCACAATGAATGTTTGGAAATGTGAACTGATATTTCCTACTGACACACTACAGCAAAACATAGAAATAACTGACTTAAAACCATTTTTATCTGCTGAAAATACTACTGTTCTAATCATTTTGGCCACCACTGTAATTCTGCATGACATACAGTAATAAATAACTGATATTAAATGAAAGGCACAAATGGCAGAGGACACTCACGCCTCCGCAGTGGGTCCCACGGCTCGATAGTTGGCCGTGGTGCTGATGAGCTCCGTCTCCTCGTAGTCTTTATTAACACCGTCACGTCTTTCTCGAGCACGGTCACGGTATTTCTCCGCCAGCTCGCGCTCTCGCTCCATCTCCTGCTGCCGCAGTTTAGCGTAGTAACTTCAGACAGAAGCGGAAACGGTAACAGAGAACAACAATCAAAACCTGCTCTTGCGTGCATCACATCGTATTATGACAAATAAAAATCATTCTAAAACAACTAAAAAAAAAATTGTGTTTGGTTTTACCACATTTGTAAAAAAGCTCAAGGCTCTGTGGAATTTTTACAAGACAAATTTCACACATTTTGGTATAGAAAAAATTGGGGGTTGCATTAATGCATGGGGAAAAACTCAATATTTAAAAATTCTCAAGCTCACATGTCAATTCTGCCCTGGTGTTTTTATTTATTATTTTTAATAAATTAACTTTCCACTTGCTAACACAAGCGGGAATCTGAGGTGAATACAGCATAAATAGAAATATTCCTCTGCAAGGAAAAGTTTAAAAAAGTTAAACAACACATTTATCAAACCAAAATCATGAGTGAAATTAAATGTCTATTTATTCCTGCTGCTCATTTAATTTATCTAAAATGTGAAAAAGTGAAATGCCATTTGATCAGCAGTGAATAAAGTCATCAGAAACGTGTAAATATATGCAGAAGAGAGACAATAGCAGCAGCAGTAGTAATGTAGGATGATTTATTCATCACTGTTCCTCGACTCACCTTTTTTTCTTCCGCCTGCGAGCCGCAGGGTCCTCATCCTCATTATATTCCCGTGGCATCCTGGGAAATTCATCACAACAAGACGTCAAACAGACTTGTCAGACTGCTATCATGGAAACATGCAGTGTAGGGCTGCAGAGACTAGCTGGGAAGTCGAGTATTTGAGCGTGAATTAACCAGAGCAAGCATAAAAAGGACACAGATTCCTGTTCAAGTTGGCAAAACTGTTACATTGTATTAATACGCTTGCACATATTTTTTTAAGGTTACAATGTTACATGTTAAATACAAAGTGATAATTCTTATTTTGATGTTTTTACATTAACATGTAACTATTGCAAACATTGGCCTATCAATTAATAAATGTGACCGGTGCTGGCAAAATGAGTCACAATGAGCAAATTTTCTCTTTAATTTTCATAGCGGAGCCACTAGAAGTCTTTCAACCACTCTCTCCGAAAACTGTACGCCTTCTATTCGGCTGGTGGACCAACATTCACCACATGATCGCCATCACCAGCACCATTATTTGTAACTTTAGGTGGTTCACAAAAGAAATCTGTCAGTGTTTCTTTTTTTATTTTCTCTCTTCTTCAGCCTTTTTCATTCCCCGCGGTAGTTAGCTCCCTGTCACCTGACAGTGGAGAGCAGTGGCTGGGTGATTGACAGCTAATATTAACCAATCTAAAATCTGCATTAAAGTTAAGAATGTAAAGATGAAGTTTAACTGGTTATGTAGCCTAACGTTTCATAGAACGGCAGACAGGTCACCGTATCAACACACAGAAGGCACATAGATTTTTAGAGAAACGAAAACAGGTCGCACGACAACAATTATATGCACTCGCACAAATGCTCCCAAATATATTTTGAGGTCGCACAGATTAAATTTCAGGAGCATATGCGACCAAAATGGTCGCAATTTCGAGCCTTGTATGTACGATTTGTTTTTGTGTCTTAAATGGTAACATGAAGCACAAGTACTCGAGTAACTTAGGTTTTGTTTTGACAAATAAGCGACGAGCAGAAGTGAGTAGTGACTCAAAGAAAGATCTCAGACAAAGTCAAAGTACTCATGGTGGCGTGTTTTGGAGGGTGGAGCTGAGGACGGCGCAGATCTCGGGGTCATCAGAAGCTTCCTGAAGTCATCATTGGTCAGCTTGGATCTGAGGATCACAAACAGATGCTCAGTGAGGCACAAGAACAGATGAGCGAAGCACGAAAATAGTCAAACATTTTAATGGACTGCAACAAAAATGACTGCATCTGCTGATGTTTCCCTCACTTTATCCGAGGTAACATTAATAAAGCTATAGATTTAACACTAGATAGAAAGATCATTCACATCACTGTATTTATCAAATAACAGGGAAGTCTTTAAGACCTTTTTAATACTAAATAAAACACTTTTTGTGAATAAATTGAAGGGAACACAATATGTATATATAAAAAAGCCTTGAATAGCTCCGCTCCAAACCACTGGAAAACAGAACTAACTTTTATTCTACCTTCTAATCACAATGCAAAAAAGTGATGTTCTTGCTCAGTATTTTGTCTTGTTTTCCAGTCCAAACGTTTAAAGACTTTTAAATCAAGATACATTTACTTGAGAAGCAAAATGACAGAAGTCTGATCTGAAACTGATCAAGTTTATGATTAAAACAAGAACATAAATATCTGCCAACAGGCTCAGAGAGAGAGAGAGAGAGAAAAATGAATTCAAAGGGAAAATAAGTTTTCATTCCCCACGGACAGAAATGAGTTCTAGCTTTAAGCATAAACTCACTTTATTTAGTGCACATTTTCAAGACATTTCACATTTGCATCTCAATCCTGATTTAAGGATGTTTAGATGTCTGTATTAAAAAACAAAAATACAAAAGATGCAACATTTAATTCCACGACTTCATGAATTTCCTGCTCTGAATTAAAACTATTTTAAAGGCTTTACGATGCACAAGGGTGTCTTTTTACCAACCGAGGGTGTCATTAATACCACAGTTGATCTATCATCATCAGCACATTATACGGAGATGAAGTGATGGTGACGAGCACTTACTGAAGCGCTGAGCGGTGATCCTCCACCTCATGGCCATCCGGAGCCAGAGGATTGGAGTAAACATCAGCTGAAAGAGACACACACATGAAAACACACATCACACTACAGTGAGCATTAGATGTGGTCAAATAATCGTTCATCACCCCAAAGATACACGTGAACTAGTGCTGGGCGGTATACCGGTTCATACCGAATACCGGTTTTTATTTTTGTTATGATACGGATTTTGAAAATACCGGTGTGTGTCGCTTAAACAACGTTGGGAACGCGACACTGTTTGAAAGGGGTCCCTCTTCACTGTTGCACTGTGGTGAAGGAACAGCTGTACGTGTTACTAAGCGTGAACGTTCAGAAACTGAAGCTGTAGAACTAATAGAACGTGATGACACAGAAGAACTCATCCACACTGACCTCCACAAATATCCAGCGCCCGCTGCCATCAGCTCCCGCGTCTCACACACACGAGCGACTTTAGAACTAGATTTAGCAACTTTCAGACCCTTTTAGCGGCTTCTTCCACAGAATATTCATACTGACAAACCTAGCCACTTTTCTGGATAAAGCTTAGCTATGGTTCAGTTGGAAGATTTCTCCAGTGCTGTCCCGCGAGCGCGAGGTCTGACTTTCCCGGAGAAGTGTCGCCTCTCTCGGCGTCTGTTCTGTGCAGCGAGCGGCAGAGAAGCAGCGACTCCTCAATAAATGAGTACAAAACAGGGTTTCCAAGCACCTGTCGCTTACTGAGTGTGTGGAATTATAAATATGAGCGCAGTTCGTCTGTTAATATCACATGCACATTTTTAGTTTGTTGTTGTTTTTAGTTTGTTACTCAGACGCAGGCAGTGCGCTGCATGAGACAAAAGAGTAATCCAGCCAAAACAACCGCATAGCCGCTCTTTAGTGTAGATGCATGTTGATTTTATCAGACGATGCCGTGATTATAAATGAGAGTGACTCCTGGATAACATGTATTAAAAGG